GCTGCTGCTGCTGCTGCTCTAGCTGCTGCTGCTCCAGCTCCTGCTGCTCCCGCTGCTGCTGCCGCTGTACCTCCTTCAAGGGGTCTCTCTGTAGCTGAGGAGACACCCAAATCGACAGCACGAATCAGCCCCACACGGCTGCAGCAGCAGCAGCAGCAGCAGTGGTTTTTGCTGCTGCAAGAGAGAGAAGAAGCTTTAAGAGCAAAACGATTAGAAGAAAGACGCAAAGAGCGCATCTCCCTATACACCCCAACCTCAACACAACCCCCTACACCAACAGCAGCAACAGCAGCAGCAGCAACAGCAGCAGCAGCAGCAGCTGCTGCTGCTGCTGCTGATGCTGATGCTGCTCAAGCTGCGGGGGCCCCAGAGCACCAGCAACAGCAACAGCAGCACCAAGCAGCAGCAGCCGCAGCACCAGAAGCAGCAGCAGAAGCAGCAGCAGCAGCTTATTCGGGAGATGAAGCTGAAGCGGCATATAAAGAGAGGCATCAGGCAGCTACACCGCAACTACTCAGCAGCAACATCAAATACTCAGCACAACAGGGGCCCCCTAACTCTTCCTTTCATCAACAACTCCTTAAGAAGGGGCCCCCTAAGGGCCCTCATCAACCCCGGCCCCCAAACCAACCCCTCCACCAGGGGCCCCCCATGGGGCCCCCCAAAGGGCCCCCAAAGGGGCCCCCTAAAGGGCCCCCTAAAGCGCTCCCCAAGGGGCCCCCTATGGGGGCCCCCAAGGGGCCCCCTAAAGGGCTCCCCAAGGGGCCCCCTAAAGGGGCCCCCAAGGGGCCCCCTAAAGGGCCCCCTACGGGGCTCCCAAAGGGGCCCCCAAAAGGGCCCCCTAAGGAACCCCCTCAGGAGGGGCCTCCTCAGGGACAGCTTCAGCAGGTGCCCCGTAAAAGGCCCCCAAAGGGGCCCCTTGAACAGGGGCCTCCTAAGGGGCCCCTTGAACAGGGGCCCCCCAAGGGGACCCTTGAAGAGGGGGCCCCCAAGGGGCCCCTACTGCAGCAGGAATCGCCCAAGGGTCTCATCGAGGGGGGGCCCCCGAAGGTACTTATTGAAGGGGGGCCCCCGAAGGGCCCCGTTGAGGAGGGGCCCCCTGGGGGTCCCCTGGAGGAGTATGCTGATAAGGATATAAATTTAGAAGGTGTTTGTTTAGAGGGCTTAGCTGATGAAGTGTGGGGCGATGAACAGAAAAATTTAGCTGCGAAGAAGATTCAAAGGGCTTGGAGACAACGCAAGAAAAAAAATATATTTATGAAGGTTGTTGAAGTGCAGAGGCGACAAAAAGAAATACAACAAACACTCAGAAAGAGGCATGCATACTTATACCTTCAAGACCAGCAGCAGCAGCAGCAGCAGCAGCAGCAGCAGCAGCAGCAGCAGCAGCAACAGCAGCAGCAGCAGCAGCAGCAGCAGCAACAGCAGCAGGAGCTTCCTCCTTTGGGTCTTAGAAAGATAAAAGTAAGAAGACGTAGCGGCCTCCTTCCTTCTGCTGTCTCTTCAGATACACCTGAACAGACACCGCAGCAGAAACCTAAGGAGACAGCTGAAGAGACAGCTGGGGAGACAGCTGGAGAGACAGCTGCACTCGCAGCATTAAGAGCTTTCAAAGCCTCTCCGCAGCAGTTTACGCCTTTAGTAAGACGGCGTCCTGCTGTTGTTGTGTTGTTTAAAGGGGGCCCCAGAAAGCGAAAGGCTGAAGCAAAAAGAAGCAACAGCAGCAGCAGCAGCAGCAGCAGCAGCAGCAGGAGTTTCTTTCTTAATAGGGATGGGGCTGATTTCCTTTCATCTACGAATAAACAAACAAAAGCGAAGACAGAGAAGGAGACAGAAGGAGACAGGTCTCCTAGGTTGTACAGCAGCGGCAGCGGCAGCAGCAGCAGCAGCAGCAGCAGCACGTGGGAGGGGCTGCCAGCGATAGTGCTGAAGAGACCCACGGATGTCTTCTCCTCATCTGATTCACTAGAAGACAGCAGCAGCAGCAGCAGCAGCAGCAGAAGCAGCAGCAGCACAGAGCTCCAAGAGGAGGACTTCCTTTACGGTGGGGCTACAGACTCTCGAGAGACACCTGAGGGGGCGGCAGCAGCAGCTGCTGCTGCTGCTGATGCTGCTGATGCTGCTGCTGCTGCTGCTGATCGTTATGATGATGATGAGAAGGAGGCGGGGGAGCAGCAGCAGCGGGCGAGAGAAGGCTGGAAGCAAGAGAGACACCCAGCAGCAGATGCTTTGCCTCTCAGCAGCAACAGCAACAGCAACAGCAGCAGCATCAGCAGCAGCATCAGCAGCAAGAGCAGCAGCAGAAAGAAGGAGAGGAGGCGCAGCAGCGCCTTACTGCATCCGAACTGGCAGCAGCAACACCAGCAACATCTGCAGCAACATCTGCAGCAGCACCAGCAGCAGCAGCAGCAGCAGCAAGAGGAGCAGCAAAAGCAAGAGGAGCTGCAGGAGCAGCAGCAGCAGCAGCAAGAGGAGCAGCAGGAGCAGCAGCAGGAGCTGCAGCAGCAGCAAGGGGGCCCCCTCTCTTCCACATTTGCAGCAGCATAAGGGGCTTAGCTGCTGCAGATAAAAAGGAGACAGCTGCACGTTGTTGGGGTGTACAGGCACCTCTAAGCTGAAAACTCAGCAAACAAATTCAAAATATTAAATTGCATTTCTCTTTAAACAATTTGTCTCCTCTATTTGCATCATATAATATTTATGTACAATGTATATAATATATATATATATATATATATTATATATATATATATATATTATATACATAACATATGCTCATATATATATATATTATAAATACACATATATATATGTATATATATGTATTTATATACATGTATATGTATATATATATATACACATTTATATGTATATATATATATACATTTATATGTATATATATATTGTATATATAGGTAGATATGCGTAGACAAACAAACAAAAAGAAAATAAACAAACAACATATGCATGAAGCTGTGATTGTTTTAAAATAAACAGAGACAGAAAAATAAATAAACAGAGACAGACAATAATAAAGAGAGACAGAGACAGAGAGAGACAGAGAGACAGAGACAAATAATAAACCGAGACAGAGACAGAGACAGAGACAGAGACAGAGACAGAGACAGAGACAGAGAGACAGAGACAGAGAGAGACAGACAGAGAGAGACAAATAAATAAACAGAGACAGAGACAAAAAGAAATAAAGATAGACACAGAAACAGCGACAGAGGTAGATAGAGAAATAAATAAATAAATAAATACATGGATGAATGAATAAACAAACAAATAAATAAATAAATAAATAAATAAATAAATAAATAAATAAATAAATAAATAAATAAATAAATACAGAGAGACAACAAAAACAGAAAAAAATAAAACAACGTAAGCAAAACAAAATATGCAAATTGAGACACACAAATATATATATATATATATATATGTGTATATATATATATATATGTATATATACCTTTCGCTATAAAAATAAATAAATAAATATATA